CAAAGAAATGATGGGGAGTGTCCTTCCCAAACTTGCCTAAAACTTTTTATTTAGAAATGTATTTAAGTATCACAATTGTTATTCCATCAAGTACTCAAATTAGCATTTGTGCTTCAGTAGTATTATGGTCATTGGAATTAAGGTATTTGCATGTGTGATATAGAAATTGCAGTCTGGTGGATAAAAAGGAAGTTGTTTTCCTAGCGGCCTTTCTTTGACCCTGCACTTTGATTTTTACAGGTGGTGTTGCCTGAGGGTTCTAGTGACATATTTGCAGCGACTCCATTTCCCATAAAGCAGTGGCAAGAGGTATGAGAAGACTTATAATTTATGTTTCTATCTGACCATTTATTTTATAATCTACAGCTTGTGTTTGTGTTTAGTGGTGTGTAAAACTCGATTTGATTCAAAAATTCAAAAATTTTACTTTATTCGATTTAATTCAACTCGAAAAAATTTTAAATTAAAATTTGAGTTATAAAATAGGACTCAAATAACTCGAAGTTTTTAATAATTAGTGAATTAATTTTGAGTTCTAGTCGAATCCCTTAACGATGCATGATATATGTATATCACATATGAAATATATATATATATATATATATATATATATATATATATATATATATATATATATAGTTTTTATCGAAAGATGTTTAAATTGGAATCAATTAGTACTATAATATTATAAATATTTATAATTAAATTTAAATAGAAACTCAAACAACTTGACTCGACTCGACTAAAAAAATTTCAAATAATATTTGAGTTATAAAATAAGACTCGTCAATTTGACTAACTTAATTTTTTATTCGATTCAATCGAATGCTCATCCCCATTTGTGTTGAACTTTGAATATGAAGTTTGTCGTCTTTTATATATACAACGTGCTTATGATTGGATGCAGACCAAAATCTCCCACTTGGATATTGGAGGTAGGCCAGTAGTTGTGCTGGAAAAGACTAATGTCGTGCCAGAGCACAATCAATATTTTCAGGTATTGTTTCGTTGTCCATCTTCAATCGAATATTTTACAGGTTTTGTACATTAATGGTTTATAGTTTGTTCTTGTGTTTGTTTACCTTACAGGTCTATTACAAATTCAGCTCTCTATCGATGTTTAGAGAGCCACTGATGTTAATTTCAGGTCTATTACAGGATTTACAGGTGAGTAGGATTTCAATACGCCACTTGGTTCACCCAAAACACCATGGGACAAATACATTGGTTAAGGTCTTTGCTTACTGCAAATTCAGGTTCGAGTACTGATACAAAGTTCAGGAAATCATAGGCCGGTGCTTGGCACACACGATACTCTGGAAGCATCGCTTCGTGAACTTTTTAGGAAGGGGGACGTTCAAGCTTGTAAAGCTGCTCGGAAATCTGCCGATGGCTTGTTAAAGAGCTGTCAAAAGAAATGAAACCCTTGCTGACATCCTTGCAAGCTTATTCATCGGCTGCTCGAATATTTCCCCCCTTCACCTTTCTTTGATGTCTTGCTGCTTCTGTTCAACTTTTCTAGATCAATTCGACACCGTCTTGTAACATTTTTAGATCTGTGATTTGTAGAAACATCTTATTTTTTATGAAGTTTGTTAAGCCCTTGATAAGTGAACATTTTCGTCGTAACTCGACCCTGCATGACCGAAATAATATGTTTCCTGTGGATGCCTGTATAGGTGGAGGAGCTGGTGGCCAAGGAGAGAGAGTTGCAAGAGAAGCTGATTCAGAAGCACACTACAGCTGTGGAGGGCTATGAGAAGAAGTCGGGCCCCGAGATATCAACAGCAGGGTGGCGTTGCTGCAACAGAAGATTACTGCATTGAAGCAGGATGTTGATGATCTTCTGCAAATCATTGATAATATAAGGCGGGGGATAAAATTTTGGTCCAAACATTTAGGCTTTTGTCTCCAAGGTGCACCACTTAGTTCCAGTGTTTTCCTCTCTTTGTTTCTTTGTTGAACCTTGTTTCTTCCTTAATCTAATATGCCTTTTACACACAATTCAAGAATCTGCAGTTACATTATTATTACACTACGAAGGACAAAAAATAACATGAATATAAATTTGTCAAAATTTACAGACAATAATTGTTAAGACGTTTAAACAATCATGATAGATGAATTTACATGGTTTACTTCGCTGAAATAATTTAGCTCACTCGTGAATAGGGGCAACTAGTATGTAAATTGCCAATGTGTTGATCAATGGTAAATGGCATTGCAGCAGAGTAGGCTTCAATTTTCTTGGGGTGGCATCACTTGCAAAAGCTCGATATTAGCTCGAATTCGGCTCCGGGCTGCACACAGGAAAATATGAATGATTTTAGTTTGGTGTTTTTATAACACAAATGTGATATTGGCTTTTGTTTTCTAAGTAAAAGGAAAGCAGAATAGATAAACAAGGCAGGGATGATACGGTACAATCAAATCCGGACTACGTTAGGTGAACATAAGATTCGGGTGTGAGTGTTGGATACGAGTATGTATCCCGAACATAAGATTTTTCTAATTAGCCAGGCTCACCAATAAAGCAAAATTGCATAAGATAATTAGAGGACATTACCGGGATCTCATTCATTCCTTTCTGTCCATAGCCAGCCTCTGGAGGAACAATGACAGTCCTCTGAAAAGTTAAGGTAAACCATGAGATGATGATCAAGAGAGAGTGAAACTCCCAGGGCAAAAACAAAAGAGGATGCTTTAAGCTAACCTTGCCCCCCAGTTTCATTCCTTCAGTAACAGAATACATAGCTGGTGGAGGCTTTGGCGCTGCCTGTGCTGAAAACAGACCATTGGGTTGTCTACAAAATCTCGTTTCCTTTCTTTCCCTGGACTGGCCCCAACCTTGAATTCATACGGCTGAGTAAAAAATAACACCATATTAGACCATCATGTCTACAAAATCTTATAAGTGTTTTTTGTCAAGCAGCCAACCTAATACCAACAATCGGTATTGTCTCTCGTACTCGACTGGAAGCACCTCCAATATAGGGGCGTGCACAAACGTGAGCATTTACGCATGGGGTTTGAAACACTGATCTATCACATATAGGTCACGGGTACCACTTGTGGGTCAGGGTTCAAGCCACCATCCGCAAACGCTCACGTTTGTGCATGTGACTTCATCCAAACCAGAACGGTCCATGGCTTCCGGGTGAGTATGGGAGCCAAAACTCCGACACAGGGACAATTCCGATTGTTAAGTGTTCAGTTGGGCTTTCCTGCCTAAACGACAGGATCAAAGATGTCTAATTTCGGGCGTAAAATTTTATAATTCGCCCCTTGTGTCCGTTCCCATACACCACTACCAAATGAGTTTACACTCAGACCCAGAAACGCATAAGCAAAAGCTATATAACCTGGGAAATGATGCGATTCCCAGCCAGAAGTTTAGACTCCCGACTTGAAACAGCAGTAATACCACGGTATAAACAATCAAAGTGCACCTGAAAAACCAAACAAAAAAAGGGTAAAAACACGAATCCATGGATATGCAATGAAACCACTACAAATCAAGAGACCTGTACAGTTGACCCCTTTTCTGCAACCGGACCCTTCCCTTCCTCAATATCAAAGTATTTCAACCCCTCGGCTGTTGGTTTCAACAAAACAAAAGGCAAAACGCACATCAACTGTTGAAAGAAAAAGCAAAAGGAATTAGGAAAAAGGAGAAACTAACGGGTAGTGTTATAGTCTTCGATTGGGATTTTCTTCCTGTTGCGTCTCTCCCTGGCCATGGCCTCGGAGAACCGGGGGACTGAAATGAGATTGAAAGTGGGCACCGATGAGAGCAATATGGCGCACCGTCTGGAGATGGGTAGTGATAAAAAGGGCTGGTTGATGGCTTGCTTTTGGTTTGAGTCGCATTTTGAACAGACTGTTTTGTGGGAGCTAAAGCCAATGTTCCATTTCTGTACAATTCTTGCCGATGCCATTGCTACGTTTATCTTTGTGTTCGTTACGACTTGGAAACGAAACCCCTCCACTCTATAGCAATCCACTTTCCTTATCCAATTACCTTTGTACCCTTGCCTACGCCCGTATATATGATCTTTTAGGTTAAATTATAAAGCTCATCACTCAATTTCTTCTACTCATACTTTGGTTATTAGAGTTTAATTTTATTTTAATTTACTTGCTAAAGTTTAGTTACTTCTATTTTGTACGCTGAATGTTAAATTAGAAACATAAGAGTAACATGACAAACACAAAATGCTGATGTTGATTGCATTTTATTGGCATGACATGCAAGTGTCATTCATCATTTTTTTTGACTCATCTTCTTCTTCTAAAGATGAAATTTTCACAACTTAATTTTTGTGTTACGCGGATGTTGAAGTCACTGCTCTTTTATGTCTTCTCGATCACTTAATATATCGATGAACTTGCCTCATCATCTTCTACCATTCTATCATTTTTGATTTTCTCAAAATCTCTTTAAAACTTATAAAACCCCAAATGACTTCGATCTACAATTTTTATCATTCGATTAATATGAAATCAAAATATACAAACTTGCATCCTTCTCCTTCTCATCCTCCTGGAAGAAGATACTTCATCAAGAAATGAAATAGAAATTGTAACATGGTTAATGAATAGAAAAAATCATGTCATAAGGTCGTTAAGTATCTAATGACGGTATGACTAAAATAAGAGTAAATTGAAAGTTTAATGAATAAACTAATTTTTTTTAATTTTAGTAACCAAAATAAAAGTGAGAGAAAAAGTTGAGTGATATAATTTGGAATTTACCATTTATCTATCATACAGAGAAAACATGAACAAGTATATATAAAATGGTACTATGAGTTGTTAAACTCATATTGATAATCAGTACTTCAGTTCTTAAACTACTCTACCAGTTGATCGAAATACCGGTACACAAATTAATCAAGAAATTTTAATATTTGTTTCGGATTACAACGAAACCAGTGAATGAAAATCAAGGCTTGACAAATGAAAAATCAGCATTATGTTGTTGGTGTTTGATGCTGATGATCTAGTGGTGGCGTCGCATGTCGAGGACGTGGCGAAAAAGCCTCGATATCAGAAATTTCCGTATCGGAGGGGTAAGAGTAGTTGGAATGCGTGGGAGAATTGAGAACGCCGTCCGTCTGATCGCATGCGGCGGTGGACCGATGTTTGTGATTGTGTAACAAGTGTAGGGGTGATGTTCCTCGGCTCGGCGTGGAGTCGACACTCATCGACGGCGAGGCATGGCTGTTCATTCCCGCGGATCCTTCCCTCTTGCTCTGTTCCTGTTTCTCTTCTTGGCAGCCTTGTGCCAATTCTTTAGAGCCTTGGCTGTCTGCTCCTCGAATATTGATTTCATGTGAGACCCCATCTACATTAAAACCAAAACGGACAAATTTAATAAAATCGCGAGTAATTTCGTCTATGGTTACCGATGAAATTTAAAAATGATTTGAACCACCCGAAATGACCACTGACCTGGGTCACCAAAGCATAGAGTGGGAAGGTAATGTAGCTGCATAGAATTTGAAGGCACACCCCAAGGAGAACCCTTCCAATTACGAAGTACAATTTCTCGTGTATACAGGACCCTATGCTGTACTTAAACTGTACCACAAGTACCGGAATTAATGTTAATTAATTTCTTTCAACGAAACAAGAGTAAATTAATTATTGTCTTAATTACTCACCCAAACCCAAAGGAAATACGCCATTTGGAAAGCATTCTGCATGAATACATGTATGTATGTCAAAAGTAATAAATAAAGCAAAATTTCAAATAATAATCCTCAGTTAATTAAATACCTGGAAGAGGGTATAATGTATCAAGAAGAGGATCCACTGGGGTCGATTAAACCAGAAATACTTGTTATTAGGCTCCACCACCGGCGCCCCTCTCACCACCGCACTCCGCTCTTGGATTTCTTCCGCCATGTCCATTATTATCACTTCTAGCTTTGTTCCCACTAACAAAAGTATCTGCACAGAGTAGAGTGATTAATGAGTTGAGCAGCTCGTGAACAGTTTGAACTCCATTCGGTCAAAACTTGGTAAAAGTTGGACTTGAATTCGAGTTCGACTCGAGACCTTAACGAGCTGAGTCGAGCAAAGTCCAACTAAATAAGTTCACGAACAGCTCATTAATTTTTTTATATAATTTTTTACCCGTTATCTTAAAAACATATTTCATTAAAAAGTTACTAATTTACTAATAGATGATAAATGACTTATCTATTAATTTTTCTAATAAAAATACTAAATTATTAATTAATAATTATTATTTTATTTCACCCCTAATTAAACCATAATTATTATTTTAATGTATTTGTGCATTTTTACTTTGGAGTTTAGACTTTGAATTTATTTCATACACTCTTTTGATAATTGTTTTTGTTAAATTTATCGATTTACGTTTATATTAAGTTCTATATAGTATTAGTAGATTTTACCTATATTTAAAAAGTTAAGATAAAAATTTTAGTGAGCTTAACAAGCAACGAAACGAGTAACGAGCTTAACGAGCACTAGTCCAGTAAAATTTTAACGAGTTTAACAAGCAATGAGTCGAGTTGAGCAACAAAAATATTTAACGAGCATGAATCGAACACTACTTAACTTAAGATCAACTCACTCAATAAGCACCCTTATGACATAAATTAACTATACAAAATCTATTTATATTCCAAATACACTATTAATTTTGATTTTAAAGATTATTAAATCTATAAAATTAATTGAGATTGTGTCTTACCGTCAAGGGGACTAGTGACAGCCAGCTGAGAGTTTGCCATTCTGCACCATTTAAGAATTAATATTTTAACTACTTAATTTAGTAACAATATCGTTTTTTTTTTTTTGAAAATTAGTAACAATATCGTAATCAAAGAGAAAAGGGCCGGAATTATTAACTGTAAACGTTTAGAAGTAAGAAGAGGACAGCCAAACCCCATAGAGGTGTACTGCAAAAAATAAAAAATCCAAAAGTTATCAATGGTGTGTATTATTTCTGTATTATACACATCGATATTTATTTTCTATTATTACGTAATATATATTAATGTTTATATAACAGTTATTATCAATGAAGAACATGTTGATGGTTTAAAATAAAATTAAAATATTTAAAAGTTTGGTGATTAATTTATATCGAAGATTATAGTTTATGAACTAATTAAGAATGATTAGAAGTAAATTAGAATGTTTTAAAATTTTAGAAAATAATTTTAAAATAAAAATAAAATGTTTAAAAAATTTAAAATTAATTTAAAATAAAAACCATAATTTAAAAATAAAATTAATTTATATACGCATCAAATGTTTTAAAACAGACCTGATTCCGACAACGACTTTGAAATCGTCTTCCATGGATCTTTTGATGTATTTATGGAAGTCAAAACTCGTGTTGGCTGCAAAATGTGCCTGCGTTTGAATTAATTCTTAAAATCAGATGTTGTTCCAATAATAATTAAATCATGGAATAAAATATTTTATGATAAAAGTATATTTATAAAAATTATCAACTAAAATATTAATAATAATAATAGTAACTTATTTAATAGTTACTTACGTTGATAAATCCGTTGCGCATGGTCAAATAATCCACCTTGCTCACCGAACCAAAGAATTGCCTGAAGAAAGCCACCTGCAAATTATCTTAAGATCGTTACTTCCTCGGCTCGCTATTAACTCGACAAATACATGATTCATCAACTCAGTCAGCAAGAACCGAGTTGGATCTTACTATCCATTGATGCCGGGAATTGCGGAGAAACCAGAATGACGTTTCACGAAGGAAGTTTGATGTGTTAATCTGAACCTCGAAGGATCTGCCATGGTAAAATTCAAATGCAAGCATCAATATCAATCCCCATGGATTCTCCTTTTACACGGGAGGACTTAGGGTTACCCAGAAATCGAGGTCAATCGGAGAAGAAATACCATTCGTGTACTGATACTCGAGGGTTTTGGTTTCAGATTCCCAGGCCTCCCACTTCTTCATCTGAATCGAGTTCAATCAACATGAACTATAATGGGTCTTGTTACCCGGAAGGTAATCGGTTCCCAGTACTGGAAAACGAGAACAGAAGAAGAAGAAAGCTTACTTTGGCCTTGGCCAGAAAAATGGTGGCTACGCTGTAGAGGACATGGAAAACTGCGAGCGCAAATATGAATATGTGCAAGTCGTGCATTCCGCTTTGTGAAATCAGGGCAACTTTTCCCTGTAATTTCATGCAACAATTTAAACAATCAATTACTTTGTTTTGCTTATATTAAATCAACTACCATAAACAGTTGAAGAATCTTAAAAATTCAACCGAATCAAATCAATCGAATCTTAAATCCTAGCTATTATAGTTGAAAAGCGAAAGATGGCGGGAATGAAACAAAATAAGAAAAACAAATAGGGTCGGCATGTATACTTCACCGCAAGAATCTTTTGAATCGGATCCGGCCAAGACTCGACGCCAAACGTATCTTCACCATCAGAAAGTAACTTCCTCCCGCCGCCGTCACCAGTGTCATCCCTTTGCTGCTACCTTTATCACCGTCTCCTCCGTAAACAGACTTCCGTTCGCATGGAAGCATCGAATACCCTATCTTTTCCGGGATACATATAGCCGGAATCGAATACGTTCCTATAGTTAGCAGCAACGATATGAATCCCAGCAGCATCAGCTCTGCAAATCCAAATAAAATTCATTAAGAACAAGTATAATACATATATATATATATTTTCTAGGGTTATACATAAATAAAATAAAAGACTAACCAGCTTTGATCTTCTCCAAAGCTTCCATCATGGCTTTCTTCTGGCGTTTTTGAAACCACTGCAAGGGTTTATAATCACAATTATTAGCATAAACACAATTTTAGACAGTAATAAAGTAATTAATCTTTAATCAGTACCTTTCCCAGAGAATGAATCCCATGTTCTATCAGTATTGAAATGATCACAAATATTGCGCACACAACCGCAACAGCCCATGTCGGGGTTTCCTCCAGCGACCTTTCCTTCCTGTAATTGCCAGCCATTTTCGCAAATAAATTAACAAGAATGTAACAAGGCAGAAGCCTATAAATGCTGCAAGTGGTAGCTTGTATATATATTTTTCTTCATTTGAGACACGGTCTTTGGCTGTTAACAAATGCTTTGTCAATATAAAAGCGTGAAAGCTGAGTAGCTTCTTCGGTGTATCAGTACGTAGACATGTTGACGTTCTACAATTCTGCAGATAAATATATTGATCGGTTTGGTAGTCCATTGATATTGAAACAATCTTTGATGGAGCCACAATAATATGTTGGAAAAATAATAAATAATTGAAGAAAATTGATGACATTAAATAAGTTATGTTATTTGATTAATAGACTTATTATTTAGTTTAAAGTTGCATCCATTTAATTATACTTATTAATTTTTAAACAATTATCTTCATTAAATAATCTTAACTTTTCATTAATTTCCTCTCCTCTATATATAGGATAGTTAAGCAGGCACAAATCGAGAAACATATGTGACATAAGTTTCAACTTGTAAGTTTAGAACTTTGGAATAGAAAAGTAAGATTGTGTTCGTCTGATCACTACGGTTGTACTTATTGTTCTAATTGTTTGTTGTTGTATCATGGGAGACCGACGTCTAATGTTACTCAAAGCACTGAGGAGACGAATCTATCTTAACGACACTGTTCATAGAGGCCTCAACAAAACTTCCTCTTATGTTTATCTGACTCCGCACATTCGATTTCATGTCTACATATGAGTAACCAAATTCCGTTTCTCTACTTTAATTTTCTATTTATTTTGCTTCGTTCTATTATATAATAATATTTTATTATTATTATTATTATTATTCTATGTCTCGTATTAACAATTTTATCTAACATAATATTTATATATGACCTGGAAATATTTGGATTTATGTTTATAGATTTTTCTTTTGGTTCATTATCCTCTAGGCCAATTTGGAGCACATGGACCAAAGGAATTTTTATTATCATTCTTTATTATAGTTGAGGGTAAACTACACAAATAATAATCATAATCATCGTCATCGTCATCTTCATTTATTATTTTGGTCAGAGGGATTAGATGTAATATTATTGTATAAATTCACCTCTCTGTTGTTAGTTATGATGGGATCGGCTCACTGGTATAAAGATATTTTATTTGTTTGCTCAAGTCTAAGTTGGGCCCTGTGACCGACCCCATTAAATTATATCCATATTAGTATTACTTATTTAAGTGTTCCATTAAATTAATATAATAAATAAACAAATGTTAATTTTATAACCCTCTAGTTCAGTTAGACCCGAATATTCATGGATTACAATATTATACGGGACTACCGAAATAGTGACCCAACATTTTTCTTTTAAAACTACTTGTAAATCTCTGAAATTTAGACATATATAAAATAATATAAAAACATAATAATAATATGGGTTTACAAATAATGGGGAACTCCCAAAATACATCCGCTAAGTAATACAAAATACAAAGTTTCAAAAGAGTTACGACTTAATACATAACAATGTCCATAACAGTACATGTCCTCTAAAGATGACTCAAGACGTACTCTGAAAGGTCTCTGGAAATATGAATCTGCTGCACTGGAATATCTTATGACGATAGCTCCCCACAACATGCTCCCTAAGAACCTACGCACGGAAACACATTCCGAACGCTGAGCTTACGAGCTCAGTGCCTCACCGAAAACTGTACTATACTATATGCATTCACTAGATGAAGTGACAAGTGTCACAAGTTTGAGTGTACAACTAATGGACTGCTAAGGCTGACATCATGGTGCGGTTGAGGGATTCTGCTTCTCTGAGCTCACGCACCCTTTTAGCACTACCGAAGCACCATCGAGTACTCCTGTGTGAGATCCAGAATTCTACATCGGAACGTACACCCACCAACTTACTCCGTCGAGTCTTGGGGCATATGTGCCCAGTCGGCTGTCGTAGTGTCGTGGCACTGACATGGATCCACTAACTGTCGTATTTCTGCTAAAAGGAACTCGGGTGTCCTGATTATTTCCCGAGCGTTAACTAAGGCTAGTTTTATGTAAACATAGCTATTTCTTTTTCTATTGTTCTGATATTAATTAGTGTTCTCACTTGAAGTCTTATTTGAGGATATATTGAAGTGTTGGAGTACCTCGAGTCTAATTCCCTTAAAAACTGGTCTTTTTGTCCAAAATAGACTAAAAGTATTGATATTATCCCAAGAGTATCGATACTCCTGCAAAAGTTTTGATACTTTATATAAGTACCGATACTTTTAAATATTATGTTCTGCCTAGTTTCGAAACTTTCTGGGAGTTTTGAAACTATGACCCAAAATATCTATGCTCTTTCAAGAATATCGATACTCTTGCCCATAAATTCACAAGTTTGCCCGAGAAAAAGAAAAAGTTTACTATCCCTCTAGTATTGAAACTCAACCTGCATAGAGCATAAAATAGGTGCAAAAACTCATATTCTACTATCCCAAAGACCTTAGTGAGGTCCCCAAACATTAGTAATGTTTTATGAAGATACAAAGGAGCATAAATAGGGCTTTAGACATGTTTATAACTCTAAAACATGAAATCTACCATGGGAATGCTTTAAGCTTATGCAACCTACTACATTTCATCTAAATGACTTACATATGGTATAGTTGAGTCAAGAGTGAGTTACCTTTGATGCTATACTGTTGAAAATATCAAAGGCTCAGCCTAAAGTAAGTTTTTCCTCCCCCTAACTTTGGAGCATCTCCAACCTCTTGCACTAAACAAAACCAAATGCAAGGGTTATTAACTTTTGCTAGGGATTAAGGAGGGATTTAAAACACTTCCTAAGGCTAGAAATATCTGAAAAAATGAGTTGGAACCATCTAGTTCCTAAAACCATTCTAAACACGTTCTTGCAACTATGGTGAAATGGGTGTCTTGAGGGCTTGATACAAAGCTTGGGATACAAGGATCATGATTCTTACTTTTAGGTTGCTGAACTAGGGTTACAAGACTACCAAGGTTCTACCTTTACTTAGTTCTTGGAGAATAAGAATGAGCTATGAATATGAAGATTTGAAGAAAAATAAGAAGAAAAAGAAGAAGAAGAAGAAGAAGAAGAAGAAGAAGAGACAAATACGAGTTGAGAAAAAAAGAGTGTATCAGATTGATATCACCAAGCAATTAAGGATTTCAAGGTTAATTTTGAACAAGAGTAAAATTGCTTCTTTGGTCCCTCCAATTCTGACTGCAGATTAAAAACACCCTTTTGTTTCACTATTGGGCTCAACCCAAGCCCAAATCCTCTTCAATTTGGGTCAAGACTTCCTACAAGCTAAGGAATTATACCAAGACTCATCTTGGGTTACCCCAATACTTCTAACCCGGGATTCGGGATGTTACAAATTTACTTTTGTTTGAGTTTTTTTTTGTTATATATAAAAATATCCAACATGTTCGACATTATCATTTTAAGGTCAATTCTATCACGACTGTTAAAAAAATCCGTCAACCTTTAAAAATTTTAAAACAATCCTAAAATTTTCTCAAAAATATCAACGACAAAAACTTGAACCCATAAAATTCTTAATTCTAAAGTCTCATTACCGTCGCAAATTATCACTCATCCATCACCGTTCATCCACTGACCAGTCATCCCCTTGTCTTCATCTCAACCCCTTAAATCCTTAAACATTAATACCTAAATCCTTAACCCCTTCATCCTCTATCAAAAACTCATCGTTAGCAACGATAAAGGGGAAGGCCAACTGAAGAAGGAAGAAATTAGGTATTAAAGATTTATGTATTGGGAAGTTAGGGATTGAGTGATGAAAACGGGATGGTCGGTCAATGGGGACGATTGTTGGGTTGTCGTTTGGTGGTAACTGACAACGATAAGTTTTTCTTTGAATAACAAATGGACCGACGATATAGTTGGGGTACGACAACGTTCTCTTGATATGACAAGGCCTCTTCCCTGGAATTGATTGTGTTCCACCTCAATATCGGGTCACTTGTCGTCGCTTGCCCATTTTAGGAAGTCTTCGACGTCGGAGAGGTGGAAACGGCGGGGGGAGATTCTTGATGGGGTCCATTGATAGTGGTTAAGACTGGGTTTTAGAGAGTATTTGCAAGGCGCTAAATAGATGGAAAATGTATGTGGAATGTATGGCAGTTGGATTGAAGTGAGGAACGAGAGGCTGGTCAAATAATGTACAAATTGATGCATTGCATTGAACCACCATCTTGGTAGTCCAATGATTGGATGCCAAGTCCAAGAATCCAAGCTGCTTACTTTATTCAAAATCAATTATTAAATTGACAGAAAAATTATATTTATCATTTATTTTTATGTACCTACACTTACGTGTGTGGTTGGATTTATTAAATTGAAAAAAATATTCAAAAAATAAATATTTACAAGTGAGCATTGTTGTAAATCAAGTTGTAGAACAAATTAAAAAATAAGTGGATGTCCAGATGAAAATTGTTATTACGAATGAATTAATAGGACATAAAACGAAATCCAATTTGAATTTTGCTTTTTTTTATCTGAAAATTTATTTGTTTGAAGATTTATGGTATTATATTAGAAAAATTGTTGAAAATTTAAAGTTTTATAATATGTTATTAGCACAAGTTATGGTCCAATAAGAGCTTGGGCCAGCGGATCCACGATCATATTTGGTCGGCAAGGTCGAGGCTGTTGGACAAGGCAGAGCATAGATATCATCGAACTCGCTCGCTCGCTCATTCTCAACTCAGGAGGGAGTGGCTACTGGGTTGGATTTATTTATTTTGTTTCCCGCAAACGCTCAACTGTTCCCGTTTCATTTCTTGCAAAATGTCTATCCTTTCAAATTCCTTGGTTTCCTCAACAAATCCTCCAACCCAACTATTTTCTGGTAACATTTCCTTTCTCTTTTCTGTCTTTGTTCATATACTTTTTATTTATTTTATTGTTGTGGATTCATTGTAATTGACACAATCGTTTTAAATTCTTTCATGTTTAATGGGGTATGATTTGAAGAAGAAAAATATC